TCAGTCATTATGATCATAATTATCTGAACATGCGATCTATGTGTGTACATACATTTGATATTGTGGTTTCAAAAATGTCCCATCATCGGTGAATAAAGTAGCAGCCTAAAAGTGCAATGAAGCAGAAGAATCCTTAATAACTCTTCTGAAAGGAGAAAGTTCCAGGTTCCACACATTCACAGGCATACATTTGACTGAGGCCTTAAAACTGTAGTTCTGTTGGAATTTGAGCAAAGTGTTCGTGAACCTAAGTAAAACGATTATTACAGAAAGCGATACAAAATTGAAAAAAAAAGAAGCATATTTGTGCCATTATGTTCTTACTTTGGGACACGTTGAAAAAAAAAAAAAACGTCCTTTTGATTCTGCACAGAGTCAAGGTAAAGGTGAGTCGATTGAAAAAGAGAAAGCAGTTTTTCTGTTCTGTTTTGAACAAACGTAAGGTCTACAAGGTGTGTGCAGTCCTGTATTATTAAAATGCATCGTTTCAGTCAGTTGTCAGTTCAAAGTCACTCACATTCAATGCCAGAGCCGCTGTGAGTGGCCCGGGGCTAAACAGACCATTTTCCAAACACGCACGCGCACACTACCTCACAAGAGCCGAGTAATGAGGAGACGAGCTCATTCCAGTTGATCAAATCATTAGACTCAGTTCATTAAAAAAGACCATTTTGTGAAGTTAACCTGCTGGGACCAGATCGTTTACAGGAATTGGAAAATTAAGGATATGCATCTACACTTTTTTTGAACAGTACAAAAAATCATTATAAAAGCGACGGATAACTGGATGGTCTAGATTGGAGAGTGTGTTTTGTGGAAGAGTTTGCACATGTAACCGTTAACAACCAACACGTTATGCTAATTAGAGTAAGTTTGTAAATGTGGGCATGAGATCAGCATTTGATTTACTTCATTAGAATGTGTAAGAGTTGAACTGTTTATCTTTCTCTAGAAAGAGAAAGTGTAATTTTAAAGGAGGACATAAAAGCTGGGTTAATAAAGTAAAAGATAGTCATTCCAGTTATCCTATAGGTCAGTGTATAACCCTCACCCGAATACAATAACTGATTATTTGTCAGAAATAGATGTTGATATTGTTTCCTCACATGATCTATCAGGGCTTTGTGAACAGAGAGAGGGCCAAGAGACGGTCCAATAGCAGCTGTAGTTTAGTCTTAGTGCAGGAGAAAGCAGTGGGAGCAGGGCTGTCTCCCACAGTCAGTCGTTCCAGTAACACAGGGGTCTCAAACCGGTTCCAGGGCAGGAGCACAGATGACTCCACCCATTTCCTCAAATCTTCAGGTTAAAACCAGTGCGGGCGGGTTTCGGCTCAAAAGTGGCCAAAATGACGTGCACTGACATGCTTGCAATACCACCCTGGGCCAATGGGGGTGGACCCAGAATAAGAATTAGCCAATGCTAACATATAGCATTGGCAGACCTCTAGAAAACGTCTTTACAGGATGGTCCAAAAGTTGGCTCTTGGACCAAAGCTCCGTTCCACATGTGTGTCAATGCTGAGGGGGGTGGATTTTTTTGGACCACTCTAGTTTACTTGCTGTGAATTTTTGAAGTCTCTCGTTGAAATGAATGGAGCTGCGCCGGCTGACGCATGCACAGATGCGTTTTTTCACAATTCTCTTGTGGGCGGGACCACTCGCGGCCATTTTGGATAGCTCCAGTAGAGCACATTTTTTGGCCCATTAGTTAAGAGCGGTGGAGAAAGGCGTGACTTTGTCCGTTAATATATAAAGTCTATGGTTAAAACTGGACTCACCTGAGGAAATGGGTGGAGTCATCTGTGCTCCTGCTCAGTTTGGAGCTGTTGGAAGTTAAACCTGCAGCCACATGGCCCTTTCTGGAACCGGTTTGAGACCCCTGCAGTAACACCACCTCCATTCACTTGAATGCTCTGATAGTGACATATAGACATTTGAAAAATTATAATAATTGAACAATATACTGAGGTTATCATCAAGATACAGTATGTTCAAAACTATTATTCTAAAACATTACTAAACTAGAAAAGTACTTATAGAACACAGACCTCCAACAAGAGGCTCAGCTCCATTTCTTTTAAAAATCCTGAATTCAGAAGGTGATTTGGATCACCTCCTAAATGAAGGCAGTTGTTCTCTGGGCCATTGCTCATGTTTCCAGTACATTTTGTCCAAATCTTTCCATTACATTTTGAGTTATGTTGCTCACAGTCAAACAGACAAAATACTGTGATCACTTAACCTCCTGAATAGAGGTAATCATGATTTGTCTTTCTATTATGGCCCATTGTTTATAATTTAGACAGAAACCAAAGCCAAAGCGCCCTGCCAATTTTTAGGCCAATATACGGCCAGTTTGGACTGAAGCCTGTGATTATGTAATGCTGGCATGAAGAAATCTCACTCATGTACAGAATAAAGCACATGAGCGATTGTTTGAGGGGAAATTATCTATAAAGCTTCACTTTAATAACAGCGGCCATAATGTCTGACAAGAACATATACCAAGAGTGAAACAGTGATTGTTGAATCTCACTCACGGTGTAGAAATCCTCCATACATCAGTGGCCTACTTCAGCTCTGAGCCAGCCCGTCTCTGCGCCTGGCAAACCAAACTCTCAAAGGATTCAAATCAATTAAGTGAAATGGATGGGAAATGAAACAAGTGAACATAATGTTGAACCATCTTTGAATTTGTCTTGTGTCCAGAACCGGCCTGTTCCACATCAGAAGGACATCACAGCGCGCATGACAAATTGACAACAGCTGCAAGTCTAAGCTCAAGATTCATACAGTCCTGCTTTTATTAGAAACAAGTGAAGTGAATGATGCAAAGTGAATAATGACATCCTCTCCATGCTTTCCGTCTCAATATTTCATAGTAAGTGATGATCTCCAAAACAAAAGCGAGTCGTCGCGTCCATATTTCACGGAGGAACAATGCAATGCAGCTGACACACAGAGTGAGGAAATGTGCTTACAAAGCATCAAAAGAACTGTCACACAGTATGGATGGCTGCAGAATAATATAGGGCACTGCTGGATGGATGTAACAAGCTTCATCGCTGCATGCGCCATTTGATCACATAATACAAAGTGTGTGTGTGCGTGTGTGTGCGCGAGACATGCACCATTTGATCAGCTAATATAAAGCTTTGGTGCTTGTGTTTGTGCACAACTTTGGCTTGACACGGCTCATTTAGCCAGACAAAAGTTGCAGCGCACCGGCTGTGATGGCGATGTTCAGCAGATATAGGTGTGTGAAAGAGAGATGTCTGAATCTGAGCAGAGAAACTGAATGTTATGCATCATTTCCTCAGATAATTTGCCTGTGTGCGGATGTGCGGGGTAAACAGTGCGGTGCCAAACAACAGGGATTTCTCATTCACACACTCCGAGTAGGCAACACCTGTACGCTAGCATCAGTGTAAACAGATGAAAACAAAAAATGAAACCCATTAAACTAGTTCCTCTATCTCAATCTATCACTGGTTTCTATCAGTATGTACAATTTAAAATGGTTTTAATGAGATAAAGACAGTATGTTGTGGTCTGAGTTGTTCACAATATGTCACTTAACTGTTAGGACAAACAAATACTAAAAATCTATGAAGTAAAACAAAAAAAAGTTAGGTATACCAGGTACACTTTTCTGGTTTGTAAGATATTGTATGCTCCTTTTTTGTACTGACCAAGCATCACATTGAACATGCAAAAAAGTTGTGAATTAGATAGTTAAAGGAATAGAGATAGTTTGAATGTTTAAAACTGTACCTAATGACATCTGTTACTGATTATGCAACTTCCCCAGCATTTTACTTATAATGCAGCCACTTTGTAATTGGCATATATCTTTCTCACACACACAACACAGAAGGAAGCCTCATGCGTATCAAGCTACCCATGGAGACAATTATGACAGGGGATATAGCACAAGCCGATAGAGCTGCAGTCCTGGCAGAAACATGCACCACAGCAATGCCACATAGAAATTGGGCCATGCATTATTAAATGTCTGAGACTTCTAAGCATGTGTTGGGAGCCATGTACCTCAAAACAGACAGATTAGAGCGAATCACAGGCACAGTGCTGTGTATGAATGATAACAAGTGAGCAATATGATATTCTATACAGGCAAGGGGGACGATACAAGTTTTTCCACTTTATACGCCTCGTACGTTAATAATTCAGTCACTTGACAACAGTTGAAACGCTTGAGACTTTTGCTCATTTATTTAACATTTGGGTTGGTAGTGGCAAAGCTTTTATGAACAAAATGTCATTATCTGTTATCCTCCTTCACTGAAGTAATAAGCCTTTTATTATACATAGTAAAACTTTATTAAATATCAAAGCTTTATTCTCCTGCTCAAAACATAAATAGGTTACAAAGACCTATGATTCAGATTGTCCGAAGTTTAAAAATCTTAAAGGTGAGGCTTGAACCCTGTTTCTTCATGAAAACGTTCCACATGTAAAATAAAATCTATTCATGAATATAAGGTGATACAGCACTGCAAAAAATGATAAAATATGGTTATAATTACTTTAATTAAGTGGTTTTCATAATAATTTGAGTACGTTCTGACAGTCTTAAAAAAAGATTTGCTAATGGGATAAGCCACTTACATCCACATACATTTGGCCCAATTTGAGCAATTTTTGACTTTTATTTTTATCACATTTTGCAGTGTGCTATATTCACTGTGGGAAAAGCTACATGCTGGACCTTTAAAACAGTAGCAATAATAATAATAGATGGAGGGGGGGGGAAATGAATCTTTTCAAAATAAAAATCTGACAGAAGAATGAAAGAAAACACATTCCCATAAAACCTCAACTGTGTGGTTTATGCCTTCAAATGTTCTGAAAAAAATCGCTCTGAATCCTAGAAGGAATAGATGAAAAACCGGCTTCATTGTATCGGGCTTGTGCCAACACTTCTTTGATGTCACTGCGCGCTCTGTGGTGTCAAATCCTCCTCTTGTTCACAGTTATTCATCAGTACACTTTCTCCACAATGAAGGCCAAAATGGCGGCTGCCAATGCAAGGCCAATTCCCAGCTTCGTCAGTGTGTCCCGATCAACACTGTAACAGCCAAGCAGCGAGACGGCAGCAGAGGAGGAAGAAGACATAGCAGCGGGACTGTGGACGCCATTGGCCATCTGTTCCTGTTGGGGAGGGACAGGGAGGCAGGAGATAATTAGAGGCAGATTAAGAGAAGTAGAGCTTATTATTGTCTCTACACAAGATAATACCACGATTTTGCACGAACTGGGGGGTGCTGGATCTGTTATACAGTCCCACAGTGTCCAGTTAGCATCAAAGAAATGAATTCAAACGACACAAAAACAAAGGGAGCATGTGTGAATATAACCAATAACCACAACTCTGTGTTGTGTTTTGGTTAGAAAAAAAATAATACTAAGTTGATAAACACATATCCCATTTTAATGTACTGGGTTAGTGCATTCACAGTTTGACTAATTATTCAAACATAAAAGTGGTGTGCGCAGGGACAAAATACATTGTTGCTAAATTGCAGTTACTTAGAAAAACAATTTTATCTTCTACAAGTGTTTTCCAAAGTGGGGTCTGCGGCCCTCTAGGTATTGCAGGGGGGCCGCGAGAGGTCATCAAAAAAAGATTTATTTTTATTTGTATATATAATTATTGTTAGATTAATAATATTTTTTTTGTAATATTTAAATATTTGTATTTAATTATTTGACTTGAATTATCAAATTGTAATCATTTTTTTATTACAAAATGGGGAGCGCCATTTACAGCGCTATTTCCCCCAAATAAAACAACGAGAAGAGCCTATTTTTAACGTTGTCTTCTTGGTTATTATTTCGGGGGGCCGCGCAGACCCGTCAGATTTTTAAGGGGGCCGCGGTGTTACTGACTTTGGGAATGGCTGTTCTACAATATAAACATAACATAAGATAAGATTAGATATCCTTTATTTATCCCGCAGTGGGGAAATGTCAAGGTTTCAGCGCACATAGAGGACACAGGGAGCACACAAAAGATACAAAATATGTAGCTGCTATGTTTGTTAGCTAGCTGTAAATGCTTCAAAATCTATATATCGATAAAAAAAAAATCTGAAACAATCTTCCTGAAAATATGAGACAGGCCTCTTCTCTGACTATGTTTAAAAGCAGGTTAAAAACAGTTCTGAAACAACTTTGAGATTTTATATTTCTATCTTTTTTTTTATGTACTGTGATTATTTATGATTTTAATGCTATCTTGTTTTGTTCAGCACTTTGAGTTGCCTTGTGTATGAATTGTGCTATACAAATACCCTTGCCATATCGCTACATCTCTATCATAGGTAAAGGTATATACAGTACATATAGCATAATAAGTAGATACAGTGACATTCAGTGGACATTCTGAAGTTGCAGTATTGCACATTACACATGATTAAAGTACACCGTGAGCCATTGTAGCACTTGGCTGGGGTGCTCTTTTTATTTTGTTGCTGAAGTCATTAGTTCGTGAGCTGTATAATTGGCTTAGTATGTCCCTCTTACATCCCAAGTCAATCCAATTCAACCATTAGTAATGAACACTGTACGATCACGCACCATACCATTGATGAAAATCTGAATTGGAACACATAAATGCATCTTCCTACATCCCCCATATGTCTGTATTATCCATTATTTTCTCTGTGAACTGAAGCTATAGGCTAAATCCGGGGGTTATGGATTTGGCATGCAACCGGTGGCCAATCATGCAAATATACAAATCACTCACGAACATGACGTGCCTTGCTGGGAGTACATATTGAATAAGCTAGAGACTGTAAAGAGAGGCCAGTCTTTTCCTACATGTAGAAAAAACAGTATCACAACAGCGTCAATAATGGACACCTCGGCCTTCACCCTCGCACTGATCATAATACCCTTTGATCAATTATTTGTTTTGTTTTATATTCAGATGGGAAGCTTCTTTTCATCCACGTATTAGACAAATGGAAGAGGGCTGAAGGAACACCTGTTAACATTTCAGTGTGTAGTGCACATTGATTGGATGACCTTGCGCTGGTTAGTGCTCGTCTGACAGTCAGTAAAATGTCTTATCACCATAAAGGCAGATTATGTATGGTGCTATTGAGCGATTGATCAGCAGTCTTCCATAATAACCTTTCATCAGAGCCACAGGGGAAAGCTGAGAAATGTTTGGGCAGCTCCCATCGACTTAGCCGTCTGTCTTTCAGATTTTTTATTCATCCGGTTTATTTACACACACCTCTTTCCTTTCAGTTCCTCAGATACTCCAGAGAGACAAGCAGAGGTAGAGATATAGGCTGAAAACATTTGGTAAAAACGGTTGGTCTATTGAAAACAAAAATACACTTGTAAATGCATCCACATTCAAGATTTTGTCATTTTTATTGCGTGACCAAATGTCTTTAAATGTCTTATCAAATATGTTGCATATGAATGAAAACTGTACTGACATTTAACAGTTGGTTTCACGCCATACTTAAGGAATGGAATAATCAAGAACATGTGTAACATCCATCAGGTGTGGATCTTTAAATGTAGATAAGGCTTACAAAAAAAGCATAACGTTCTAGAATATGGTTGCCATGGGACATAATTATAATTGCTCCTGCTGTAGTACTCAGTGAAATGAATGGAGGGGGTGGGAGACCTCAAGATGTAAGATGTCGACGTGAGCTGAGGTCAATAATCAAGAACAGTGGCATTGGCATGCTGGAATGCTTTGGAATTATGTATCATTTGTGGTATAGGTTGCCATGGGAAAAAAAATGGTTTTGCTTGAGCGTTTTCTGCAAAAAATCCTTTATTCTGTCTTTTTCATTTTTACTGTTGCACATTCATTTGACCCCCTTGTGTGCAGGACACAAGTTCACAAAATTCAGTTCTGGGAAAAAAAAAACTTGTTTTCATGAGACTAGCGCAAAAACATCTAAAGTTATTGATACATATCATTTGCTTCCGTTTTTAAATACAAATTTCAATTTGTATAAAATGATCTAGTATTATCTGAAACGTAATGATTTTAATATACGTACGTAAAGTACTTCCAGCAGGGAAAGCTGTAATAAGTTTCTAATTGAGTTGAGAAAGTTCCCATGCACACAGTCGCTCAGAGCCACTGTTTATAGTGTCCTTTTGACCAGTGAACTCGCAGCTAAATCATGAGCGAGTGACACGTACCTGAGCGCACAGTGCAGTGGACGCCCACACGTGGACGAGGACTGGTGTCGGAGCAGCTGCGCAGCGTCTGTCTCAGTCTTTCCCTCCCTGTTCTCTGGATAGGAACACTACCTCAACACCCACTCCTCTAGTGCTGGAGCTCAATGCTTCCTCTGTTACTGCTCACAAAGGAATAAGGATCCTATGACCGACAACGCCTACATGACACATCCTCAAGTCCCTTACAGTAACTTCGCTCACTTAGTGATGGCTGACACGTTTGCTTACCACCACAATAATCACTGACTGAATGGTGAAAATGATATGCAGTGTTTTGTCCTGGGAATACTTGTTCTAAAGTCACAGGTATGGCGAAAAGTTTTGCTAGCCAAGTTCACAATGTAATCTGGTGTAATTGGCAACAACTGTCAGCATTGTTAATGAAATGTAATATATGAGGTGATTGTTTAGTAGTGGATTGGACAGCTGTACAAACTGTATGTGCGTCATGGTGTGGATTTTATTTTGACTTCAGTTCTGTGGTTTTGTTTCAGTTTTACTTCCTGTTTCCCTGTGTTCGCCCTAATGTGTTTCACCTGTGCTCCTTTCCCCATTTGTGGCTGGTCCATTGTCTTTGTTTGTCCTCCTCTGTCGGTTTCATTGGTTCCAGTGTTCCTTTTGGATTTTGAATTTGTTTTTACCCTGGACTTTTATTTTATTATGTTCCTGCCCATGACTTGTATGTTATTAAATTATATATATATTTTGAAATATTTTAGGTCCTTCCATCACTTCACCTCATGACAACGTGGTTATAACCGTACATGCGCTCCACAGCGTAGTCTTAGCCAAACGACCACCTGTTACACTGTATTAGGGCTCTCAATTTAGTCAATTATTCACAGAATATTGAAATGTCAAGTATTTATTGTATCTAAATCAGTGGGGGCGGGTCCCGGCTCGAAAGTGGCCAAAATGACGTGCGCTGACATGCTTGCAATACCACCCCGGGCCAATGGGGGTGGACCCAGAAGAAGAATTAGCCAATGCTAACATATAGCATTGGCAGACCTCTAGAAAACGTCTTTACAGGATGGTCCAAAAGTTGGCTCTTGGCCCAAAGCTCCGTTCCACATGTGTGTCAATGCTGAGGGGGGTGAATTTTTTTTGGACCACTCTAGTTTACTTGCTGTGAATTTTTGAAGTCTCTCGTTCAAATTAATGCAGCTTGCGCCGGCTGACGCATGCGCAGATGCGTTTTCTCACAATTTTCTTGTGGGCGGGACCACTCGCGGCCATTTTGAATAGCTCCAGTCGAGCAAATTTATTGGCCCATTTGTTTGAACGGCGGAGATAGGCGAGACTACGTCCGTTATTATTTACAGTCTATGATCTAAATGTAGAATTTGAAAAATAAAATAAAAAGCTAAGGAGCAAATTAGATGAAGACTTAGATGAAGATATACAAGCCAGATCGATAACTCCATTCAAAAGTGTAACAGTACACTTGCGAGTGCAGTTTATTTCTGCTACAGAATGCAACGTTTTTGAGAGTGTTTTCCACAGCCACTTTTCGTCGACTTATCAGTCGACTGGGCTCTTCTTCAGTCACCCAAGGATTTATTACAATTACACTGGTTTCCCTATCAAAAGAAAAAAAAAACATTAAAGACATTGGCCAAAACAGCTACTAACTGGTCAGAGTAAATGAAAAAAAGTTATAGTTTAGTCCTAAACAAAAGTAACATTGTCCAAATACTAACAAATAAAAAAAGCGACAGAAGCCCTATAATGTAAAGCCAGCACTGGAATGAATTATTTACAGACAAGAGAAATCAATAAAGAGGAAGAAAAACAATAAGAAGCCCATACAGTGACCTAAATGAAAAAGTTATCCCTCAAACCTATACATTTCTCTTGATTTGACAGTGTATTGCCTTTTTGTCTATGGCTCTGTTTCTCACTGCAGGTGTCTCCTCAGCGGGGAA